ATTTGAAATCCTTAATATAATGAGCCCTTTTTTACTTTAAAGATGGAGATTTTCCGTCATCATCTCCACTAAATTTTAGCAGATTAAGATTTGCTTCGGCCTGCCTTTTGTTTTTCTTTTTTTCTTTTATGATTTGATTTTCATGTCGTCTACTTTTTAGGGAGGTCAACGACCGGCAGATGCGACAAAGGATGGGGATTTACTATTTTGAGAGCATTTTTTATTAAGATTATTACAGTTTAGAAAATTTATAAAGATAAAATAAATAATTTAAGTCTTAATTTTTGCATGAAAATCAAACACATTTTTATTTTTTGAGATATTTAGGCTAATTAAGACAAAATAACACACTCACATGACAAATGACGTCTAGCACGCGCACCCGCGTTCGCTTCCCGTGTCGGGTTTGTCAAACCGGCAACCCGCCAGATTGGGACCGGGTGGGTTTGAATTTTCGACCCATTTACCTATCCGAGTCGGGTTAGCGTCTAAACCCGAGCCCGACCCGTGACCTGGTTTTGACACCCCTAAGTCAAATGCAAGTTATGACTCCAAAATCTCTTTCATTTAGGACTTTTTTAAACCATTATTTTTTCCCTTCTTTTAAAAAGTTTTTGTACTAAGAAATAACTCTACAAAGCACTAAGAAAGCTGTTCCAAATAATGAGGCTTTTTTTTACTGTTTCTTAAAGTAAATTTTAGTACAAAATTAAAACTTTTATACTATAAATTTGTTTTATGAAACAGTAAGAAATCTATCTCAAACAAAGTATTAGGGTTCATTTGGTACAGCTTTCATACTGCTTCTTAAAGTAGCTTTCTAATATAAAAGTTTAAATTTTTGTACTAAAAAGTTAGTTTAAGAAGCAGTAAGAAAATTATCCCAAACGAAGTCTTAGGATTCGTTAGAGGTGGCTTTTTTACTGCTTCTTAAAACGACTTTTTAGTAAAAATATTTTAATTTTTATACTAAAAAACTGTTTTAATAAGCAGTAAAAAGCTGTCCCAATCGAAATCTTAGCTGATAATCAAAGCTCCTATCAAAAAATCAAAATGAGTCTAAATAAAATAGAATAAGCATAGGGGATACTAAAATTAGTAAAATATTTAATATTCAAACTTAAAATAAAAGAAAAAAAATCACGTGGATAGACTCAGTTGATAATTATTAAAGATATTATTTATATATAATTTATATTTATTTTTAATTATATAATTGTTTACTTAGAACCTAATCAAATAATTCAAATATTTATTGGTCAAATTGAACTGTAACTTAACTATCATTAACAGACATGCATTTATTAAGATGGGAGATAAATGAGGAGGCATCACTTTACTCTATAATTTAAAAATATAAATGAATTCTAATTATCTAGAGAGAGGAAAAAAAAGCAGGAGCACATGATATATATTATATAGAATAGATATCATCATATTAATGTGTAGGGGTGTCAATTTTTGACACGATCCGAATCCGATTTTGAAAAATTCGGGTTCGGGTCAACCCAAACCCGAAACGGGTCGGGTTCGGGTTGAACAAATCAACCCGTTTTAAAAATCGGGTCGGGTTCGGGTTGTACCAGTAACCCGAAATTGACCCGAAAGTGACACGAAAACTCATATTTGACCCGAAAAATCGAGATTGACCCGTTTTGACCCATTTTTGTCCTGAAAATTGAAGATTGACCCGATTTTTTACCCGAAAATTAGTAATTTTGGGTCAACCCTGGGTCATCTGTGTCAGGTCGGGTTGACCCGGATCCTAATCGAGTCAGTTCGGGTCCGGAAACCTGACCCGTTTTTCAAAACTGGTTGGGTTCGGGTTGACCCGAATAGTGTCAGGTTAGTTTCGGGTTCGACTCGAATCCGACCCGTTGACCCGAATTGACACCCCTAATATTAATGTGTGATGGAGAAACCAATTATACAAGTGTTACAACGTTGGCAACGGCTAAAAAATTTAATAGAATAGCAATACAATAACGCCATGCATAAAATGTATTGGGTATAATAACAGCGATTTAGGTTCCGTTTTATATAGGAAATTGTAAAACTACTCAGAAAGAGAAACTTTATAAAAAAAAAAAAGTAGAAAATAACTTTCTATTGCAAAAAAATTTTGAAAGCAATGAAAAAAAAAAGTAATTAACCAAAAATTATGATTATCAGAAAAGGGAACATGTGGTTTAAGGTTGATAGGGGTGTAGTGTAAGTGAGCCAAGCCGGTTCGATCGAGCTTGACTCGTTAACAAGCTCACTAGTCAAGTTTATCAAACCACGTGTTCGAGCTCAAGCTCGAGCTCGAGGTCGAGCCTATACTCGATCAGTCGAGCTTGCATATTAAATGAGCTCAAGCTTGGCTTGGCTTGGCTCGGATGCTGGTTTAACTTAAAATATATTTAACATTTTATTTAAATTAGCATTATATAATATATTTTAACATCTCAAAATTAGTTTCATATAAAACAATTCTCTTCTTTTTTTTTGAGAATTTTAATTTAAAACTAAGAAATCGAGCTCAACAATCAAGTCAAGTTCTAGCTTATAGTTTTTTTTTAAAGAGCCGAGCTTGAGCTTAGTAAATGAGGTCGAGACGAGCTGGAGCTCAATAAAAACTAAGCTTGAGTATGAAGATACTTGACTTAACTTGACTCATTTATACCCCTAAAAGTTAAGATTAAGTCAAATTCGAGCTTGTATTTCTCCAATTTAATTTAATTTTATTTAATTCTACTTGATTAATCAGAAATAACTTGCATTAGAGTCGGCCCAAAATCAATTTTAAGTTTCTCATATAGTTAAAAATATTAAGAAAAAAAAAATCTCAAGATATCTTCAAGTAATTTTCAATTAAAATGGGTCTGAAAAATATTGAGTTTCTTTAAAATAAGTGAAATATAAATTCATATATATAACACTAATTTCAAAGCAAATTTTATATAAGTTGCAGCACGAATTCATGATTATATAAGTATTACTGTTATGATATGATTGCAGATATGCATATTACTTCTTTGTTGTGCTTAAAGTCAGTTATAGGATTTGATTATTTGCTGGACTCTTGAGCTCATTATATACGATTAAATGATTTTAAGTCAAAATAATAGAGCATGAGTGTGAGATTCACCAGTATCCTTCAAGTTCATGTTCCTATTATTTTAGCTATTTTTCTGTACTCATGACAGCTAGTTGTGATATGATTGTATAGATTATGAGTAGTGCACATAAGTTTTGGAGATATATATATATATATATATCGGTATATCTCGGTGAACATTCATAAAATTTTTTTTATAAAGTATATTTAGAGAAGTGTTGGAGAACGTTTATGTGCTTTAAACATGAGTTTGCATGGGTCCAAGTGTTATATTGTTTTATGATTGGTTAGAGTGCTTCCTTTGAATTTTTGAAAACGAATTTGGCATCAAGGAATCTTTCTTTCCGCTTT